GTGTCTGTATCATCCCATCTATTCACTGACTTCTGGCTCTATTCCTGGAAAAGTCAGCCTTGGGTAGGAGTCTGAGGGCACCGAGATTTTCTGAGCCACGTTTACACAGTCGGCTTGTAGCCACATGGTTGAACTAGGGAAGGGTCCCTCATGAGGAGCAGGCACTTTGCTTTCCATTCTTGCAAGGTGGGCTCTTAGCCTGTATGTTACTGACAGCAGCCTTGTAGATGCCCAAATACCTGGTCTTTCAGGCTTCCTCAGTCACCATCTATTCCTCTAAGACTTCCATTATATATTCTTCTAATAAGTGGGGGACAGTGATGACTTTGCAGTTTGAGGGAGAGGTGATGTGGGTTCAAAATAACTTGACCTGCTGCTACCAGTCCTTTCAGGCAAACTCTTCTATTGCAAATATTTTCTTTAATAGCAAGTAAGAACTGAAAGTATTTTCTTTTTCTTTTTTTTTGTTCTGCTACATAACCTTTTGTGTCGCGTGTATGTGACTATAATTTTTTCTGTTTCAGATATGTTTTGGTACCTTTCTGTAAAAATTCTCTCTTTAACTCTTTTTAATCATAAGAATAATTTTAAATGCAGGCAGAAAATAACTGATGTGAAAAAAACATAAGTAGTTTGGTGTATGTAGCATCCCTAGTCTATAAGGCTTTTGATTTAATTATTTCAAGTTTGTGAATATATGCTTTTAAAAGAAATAAGCTGTGAAATTCACACACACTACATGCACACCCTCACTCCTAGTTGACTGTGGAGGCTTTTAATGATGTCTTATTAGAGGAGTTTTTACTTTCTGTAGTGTTTGTTCTCTCTACAGTGCTATGGCTTTACTTTTCTGCCTAACTGTTTTAACACAGAGGAATTGGTTGGAATGTCACTTCTAATTTTAACTGTCAGTTTAGTTCTTTATGTGATATACCATACCTAGCAGTAGATTTCCCCCCTCCCTCCCTACAGCAACAAATCTCCTATTGTAAAACCAGTTCATGATGACACACTTCTCCCCCCCTCCCACAACGGTACATCAAGTCAGATTTACAGGAATGCAAAAATAGCTGAAACATGCTGTTCTCTTCGACATTTCAAAAGTTTCCCAGTGCTTTCATTTTTTGAAAGCTTTCTTTTTTTTCTTTTTTTTTTCCTTTTTTTTCTTTTTTTTTCCTTTTTTTTTTTCCTTTTCTCTCCAGTCCAAAGAAACCTTGCAGGCTGGAGTCTGCAATAAGATAGTCACAAATTCCAGTTTGTGCATCTGGAGCTAAATACTTGAATGATAGATGTCAGTTTGGTACAATTAAACTTCCTTTACATCAAAAAGAGATATGTACAGTTATGTAGGGGTGAATATGCAGTTAGCAGACACCTATTCATACATGTGACCATCTCTTCAGCTTTAGACATGGACTCCACAGAGTGGAGTGTCTTCAGTGCTCTCAAACTCATGAATTACAGCAGACAGTCATGGACTTATTACTGTAGTACCTTAGTTTTACACCACCATCCTGACAGCAAATCTTGGCCAATCATTTGGCAAAAGTGAATTGAAAAGGTTTCTGCTAATTCTAGATTTGGGGACTCTTCCTGAGCAGTTTCATTGTGATATTTTAATTCAGATATATGAATTGTTGAATTGCCTCCTCAAATCAGTGTTTTAAAATAATTTCCACATCCTGTGGGGTGGTGCTGTGCCTGTAGACCTTGTCAGTATTTAGAGAAAGATGTAATAGTTCCAAGTCTAGTTGCTGTTTGGCATTTGGATTGATCTAGTAAGTTTTTAAAACAATTATCCAAGAGTACCAATGGCAGGAAGAAAAAAACCCCAATATATTAGGTCTTCACACAGTATTACAGATCTGATTTTGATCCTATTTTCCATGCATAAAGACCAGATCATTTGAATTTACTCTTTTATTAAAATAAAACCTAGAAGAAAATAAAATAAGAGCTAGTCCAGATGAGCTCATGTTATGCACTTGAAATGAGAGAAATTTTTGATCTCTTCGGGTATTGAAAAACGAAGCTAATCCTCTATCAGATATGCATAATGGTTTCCTTGATTACAGTTTTGTCATTTCATTTGTAAGTAAATTTCTTGTTAGCTTTTTGTGTGACAGAGCATAGCATAGCTCATCTAAATGATGAAAAGTCTGCCATAATAGTGATCCTGAAGGTATGTTTCTTCAGGTTTGTGTCAGGATGTAGGAAATGTTTTGCAGCAACATGTGCTTTATTTTCTGGCAGCCCTATGCTCTTTCATCCCTTTGTCTTGTTTCCCCTCTTGTTCCCTCTCACATACAGAAAAAAGAAATGCACGTCCTCTGATCACTGCTCTTGATTGTGTATCTTGGAAAAGCACTCAGATTCATTGAACTTGCAACACTGCTTCATTCCAGCTTCCACTGGTGCAGAGAGTAGAGTAACTTGTCTATAAAAAGATGCTCTAGCATCTGCTGTCTTAAAACACAGAGAGCTTGAAATCTTACTCTCTCTCATTTGTAAATAGTGTTGCATATCAACTGCATAGTGAGAAAAACTGCGCTGACACAAATTCTTGTTAATTATTTGAAGGCTATTTTTGCTAAGCCCTTGCCAATTTACCTGTGTTATGTCTATCATATACAGATCAAAACATGAACTCTTTAAGTCTTGGCAGCTGTAGCAAACTATGTGGAATCTATGCTTCTTCATTCCTGGCCTTTGTGAACATCTGACTTGCCTGAAAGCCACGCCAACAGGGAGTTGCATTTCTTTATATAGTGACAGGCTTTCACTTACCACAGATGTATGTTTTGGAGGAAATGTTAGGTCTGGGGACTTCTCATGTTTATGTGTTTCATCTGTGGAGCATTAATATCATCATCAGAACCATTTTCTCCAGGGATGGAAAGTGGAAAAGGTGTTAAGAATCATTTGACTTTTTTTTTTTTTTTTTTGAGAGAGAGCCGGTAAAAGGTTTTTTGTATTCACAGATGAGTCTTAGATAGTCTTAAACCTTTGTTAACTTCAGGCTGCATTATACACTTTTTCAAGTGAGGTTTATCTGGGAGGTTATGTCGGTGCTTCAAAATCTAAAGAATTAAAATAGTTACCAACATCGTTGCTGATAGTGGAGAACTCTTCCTAATTAGTCTCCTGTTTGGTTTTTGGACTATTATTGCTTATTTTCCCAAGCTGACTTTAGCTGTTGCTCATAAAGACTTTTGCTTTCCTTGGTAGAACCTCAAAGAACGCCTGACTTGATAGCACCTGAGAGTCTCCTGAGTTACCATGTGTGCTTAACTTGCTGGATTCTATAAGTTAAAAAGTTCCCAAAGTAGCACTTGTATTTCTCCCAAAATTTACTGTATTGTTTCACTACTTTCTCCTTTTCTCTCTTTAAAAAAAAAAAAAAAATCAGTTTTTTTTTTCAATCTACATGACAATACACTCCTTTTAGACCAGCCCAACCTGAATAATATTTCAAAGAAATCAATTTACAAGTGGTTTCTAGAGAAGTGTGCTTGCTTTTTCTTAGTCTACTACAGCTTCTCTCTTGACTTCTGGCACATTTCAATAAAACATAATGTGCTGCTTTTTCATGCTCCTTTTTCATGCTTCATGTTTCATTTTAACCTCTTGTTGCCTTTGGATGTTGGTTTGTATTTTGATAACCAGGTTTGGAGTATTCATTTAGTAAGTGGTAAAAGGTGAGAGTGAATAAATATAGACTTTCTCAAGGAAATCATTGTTAGACTTTCAAGTGTTACATGTTGTGTTACTAGTCAGCCTTACAGTCTTACTGTATTAAATTTTCACTAATTTACTCATGGTACTACTAGGTAAGTTAAGGGTCCTTTTGTGAGAAAATGCAGGGTCAATGCATCCCTTTGAAAATGAACATGAAACTCTTGGCAAAAAGTTTGCTTCTGCTTCTAGCAGGCCAAATAACACAATGTAAATGCAGAGAAAGGGGTGGACAAGAAAACTTGTGCATATCAGGCAGGTGTTATAAATATGAGCTGTTTTATGAATTCATTGAGTGTCAGGTATGTGAAACTAAAGTTCAGGGTTTTGGTAAAATTGGTCTACAATATGAAAAATTTTTCATCTTTAGGATCACTTAGAATAAAGTACCACCTGAGGAAGGAATGTTAAAATAGGATTCTACATTAATCCCTGCAGAATCTCACGGAAGTAGAGAATGAGCTCTGTGACATTCGTGTTGGAAACCTGGAATGAAGGGAATGAATGGGTGCATGTTCTAAAGGGTTATTTGTTACAAGATATTAGGGATAAAAAATGGGTGATAAAAGTTTTAAGGGGAAAAAAGATTAATTCCGAGGGAGTGATTGATAGCTTCACTCTGCTGAAAAATGAGTCACACGTACTAAACTAGAAGAGTCTGCATCTTCTCTGCAAAGCACTCACAAAAAATGATAGTGGTAATTTGTATCCTATTGCACTCTGCAATGGGTCCATATCACTTAATGCTATTTGAATTGCATAGCCAGAGACCATATTCGAAATTTCGTGCAAAGATAAAGAAATCCCTTTCAAATAAAAATTGAAGAGAAATGCCTTCTGTAAGATTACATGTTATCTTGTTCGCTTGAAAAATATCCTACTCTTTGAATAGAATCTGACATTTGATTCAGCCTTATTAGTAAATAGGAAAGTTTGAATGAGTTGGGCTTGCCTGACTTGCTTAGGAATGAAGTGGCATCTAAACTTTTGAAAACTCAAAGTATGAAAAAAACCAAAAAAACTACTGAGTTACTTTTTGAACTTTCCTGCATGGTCTTTACTAACAGTTCATTCCTTTTATAACTCATCTAGCTGAAGTAGGATGGCACAGATTAGTAATTAAAGAATGCCCGTATCCATCTGCCTGGTGACTATTATGCTTTGTTGTCTTTGTGTCTACATGTTGCATCAGCTGTGAACAGCCACACAGAAGGACTTCCCAGTCAGGTTCCAAATCCTAATATTTTCTCATCTTTGTCTCACAGAGCTCTGATGCCTCTGAAGTGGTAATCCTGGAGCGCTGCTGGGTTGTGGAGTTCAAGAGTAAAGCAGATGTTTCAATAGTTCTCAGTAAGTAAGGCATAGCTCAATGTGTTCAGTGTGAATCTTTTATTTCTGACAACAAAAATTACAATAAGCCCCCCCAACCACCCAGGCATTGAAACTTTGCTAAAAACTTAGCTTAAGTGTATCCTGTTGTCTGTTCGATGCATACATATAAATACTGATGGTCTCTGAATTCATGTCTAAAAGAAACTCCTAAAAGCTATTGTTTTTCTAAAATCAAGTGAAAGTCATGTCATCTTTTTCCTCTGACAATAAATAGAAGTTTGAGGTTTTGTTTTGTCACATATTTTGTACAATATGGGGCTTATGTTTATGCTGATGCATAGCCAATTCATCTCGTTCTTCAATGATTAATCATTGCTAAACTCCCTATTAAATGAGAAGTTTCCTGTTTTTCTCACTTTTTATCAACTCTTCATTTTTAAAATTGTTTAAAACAGGAATAAAAATAGCTATTTCATAGAAGCCAGAATCCTTGCTTTAGGGGAAAGAATTTATTTGAAGAAAATGCTGACTTAGAGTTTTCTCTGCAGGAACATCTCGAATAGCGATTGTGTTAAAAATTTTTTGACATGGATTCTTGCAAATACCATGCAGAGTCTTCAAGTCCTTAGATCAATTTGCTATTTACTGGTAGCTGTGGTGGTCTAAGACCAGAGGTAAAAAAAGTTATGCTGCCTTTGTGGGCTTGATGACCACCTTTATGCTTAATAGAGGTTCCTATCAGCTATTCTTATACTCACCAAAATCGCCAGCCCACTTCAAGGGAAACATTGCATTAATTGTCCTCATTTTTGGCCTCACCTGATTGTAATTCTTAGTGAATGGTCACGTTTGAGAAGGCAGGACTTAAAATGTATTCATTGTGGATTTTATCCTTTTCTGGGTAGTATTCTGGGGAGTAGCTCAAATCCTGCATCTTCTGTAGGGAATGAAATGGCGTGTTTTGTGCCTGCTGTTGAGGCACTGCATCAAAGAGGACTGCTTTCTGGATTTGGAAGCATTACTTTCCTGACTATAAGAGCCAAATGTTTACTGTTGACTCTCAAATTGAGACTTCTCTAATTGTGCCCTCAATGAGTCCAATTCATTCATAGAATAATCAACTTTATGAGTATAAATACAGTGGTGTCAGTTCCCTTGTGGCACTTCTTTTACAGTGCTTGGACATAATGCTACTGAACTGAACCCAGAATACAGCTGTAATTGCTGACAGGACTCTTTCAATTAGCTTTGAAGCCTGCAAACAGGACGGTTTCTGTGGCAGCGAGACTGGCAGATTTTAAGCCCAAAAGCTGTGCAAGTAGACAACAATGAATACTGAGTAAGCACTTCAGGCTGCCTGTGGAGAAAAAAGAGACTGTGAATATGTGTGCAGGAAGAAATATGCTTGCATAGTTAGGAACAGAAATTGCTAGCTGAGACACAGACTTCCCAAAACAAGGTTTTTGAAGGTCAGTAGTGTGTCAGTAGTCACCAGAGCTAAGGGTAGCATTCTAACCAGCCTCTAAAAACATATTAAAGAAGAAAAAACAGTACAGAAAACTTCAGGTAAGCAGAGCCAACAAGAATGAATGCCTGGGGCACGACCTAACAGAGATAGAGAAAGAGACAGACAGGTAGAGGAGAAACGTATTTCAAACTTGGCAATTTTCCTGTGCCGGAGAACAAGGACAACGACCTGGCTGATGATTTGTTGGATGGGAAAAGAAAGCCAGACTGTTAGGAGGTATTAGAACAAAACTGAAGACAAATGAAGATGATATACTGTGTGTGTACTGAATGAAGATAAAATACCAAAAGAAGTGAAATAATAATCCATATACTGTAGGATAGAATAAAATTCAGAAGACAAAATGGGGGAGAAAATAAAAACTCAGGAACTGGGAAGAGAACTTTGTCAGTGGGGGCTTTGACTGTGAAAAGCTAACTGCATTGTCAGAAGAATAGATTCATGGGCTATTGGGAACCAAAACCAGCTATAGAATGTGTATCTGGGACTTCAGAGGATTCAGGTGGAAGCAGAATAGGAGTTCATACCTGCTCACAGTGTCAAATTCCTTGGGGAACTGATGGAGGAGAGCTCTACCAGAGCACAGCAGAAGCTCCAGGAAAAGAGACAGAGTTGATCTGTGAGATTACCTTGTGGTGTGGCTGGGATATCTAGGAAGAGAAAATAATAAAGGGCAGTGGAGTAAACATGGAGGGAAAAATAAGGACACTTTCATGGAACATACTGTGGAGCTGAAGATCACCTCGGGGCACTGTGGGCTCTGAAACATAAGGGGAAGGCAGAAGAGGTCAGGCAGTCAGAGCAGATAATCCTGTCAGTGCTTCAAGTGTAGTGCTCCCAAAAAAGCAGCCTAGCTCAGAAGGTTTCCAAGTGGACCTTGGAAGGAAACAGAAGGATTTGTTAGGTGAACTTTCAGTCCATATGTGGCTGATGGCTTAAATGCCCTTGTGATGTGAGCGGGTCACCATTAGCAGGACAGGTCAGACACTGGTGTGAGGTGGATCTGATTGAACGACGTAGTTCACATGGGTGTGATTCACTCCTGAAATCAGGAGGTGGGGAAGAGGTGCTCCAGGCACCCCAGCAAAGGTTCTCCTGGAGAGATCCCAGTGGAGTGGGTACTTCCCTGCTGCCTGTGGAGAGACCACGCTACAGCTGGGGGTAAAGTGTGAGGAGGAAGGAAGAGCCGAGAGGAGCTCTGACCATATCGCCCCAGCCTTCAAACCTCCCTACTGCCTGGGGTGTGGGGAAGGCAGAGGAGTTGGGGGTGAAGTTGGGGCTGGGTAAAAGGGAGGAGTGGAGGAGTGAAAAAGTATTTGTTTCTCCTCTTTTAATTTGCAATAAATTATTTTTCCCAGAAGATGAGTCTGTTTTGCCCATGATGGAAGTGGGTAAGTGATCTCCCTCTCTTTATCTCGACCCATGAGCTGCCTCTTCTTTTCTCCCTCCACCCTGTTGAAGAGGGGGAGTGAGTGAGCTGTGGGGCGGGTGGCTGGACCTGGCCAAGGCCAACACACCCCGGTTAGTTTGCATCAGGCATCTAAGTGTGTTTTGCCCACTTCCAGAGGAGTCAGTGTTTGAGCAGAAGGGCAAAGAGCAGATAAGATAAGCAATCAGGAACAGAATGTTGGTAGGTTTTTGGTCACTGCTATGTTTCCCTGGAATAGGGAATAGGAGCTGCATGGCTGGATGTTTGAGCTGCTCCCAAGAGCAGTCTGAGTTGACCACTGTGTTGTATAGAGCCTCATATGGGTGAGACCAAAGAACTCTGCCTCCCTTTCCTCTGTGTGGCACTGGACAACACAAAATTGGGAATGTACCCAAGGGACACAGCCACAGTGAAACGAAAGCAGATGCGAGAGGCATCGTGCAAGGGCTGCCTTCTCTTGATTTGTAAATCCCTTCTCTGTTTCAGGAAAAGAGATTCCTGAAAGATTGCATTAATTGCATTACTGTGTGTGGTCCCTTGGTGAGAGCTAGGGAGGTAAGAGCTGTAACATCCAGGGAGGGCTGGTGAGGAATGAGGGGAGGGAGGCAAGGAACAGAGGAGGAAGACAGAGCTTTTGGTACAAGGTCACAGTCATCTAAAATACATTGCAGTAAATCGGGGGGGGAAAAAAAAAGGCCTGTATGTGGGAATATCCTTAAGACAGCAAGCATTCCCTTTTGCCATTTGTAGTATGCAAACCACTTAATCTGGAGCTTTTTCTCTCAATAGTAGTGGCTTGCAAAGGCAGGCAGGTATCACTCCCTGTTGTAGGGATGGAATAACTGAGGCATATGCAAAGGTTACCCTTGCCAATGTATGCAGAGAATCAAGATCTCTGAATCCTGCCTTTTTTAAGGCAAACTGATGGTCTAGCCAGAGATATGATCTAGTTATTTCAGGAAAAGCAGTCCTCTGCTTTGCAAAGGCCACACTTGGTGTTTTTGGTGAACGCTACGGTGTTTCTGTTCAGGGGTCCTGAGATACCACTGTGGTATTCAAATATTTCTGTGGTTTGCATTGCTTCCAGCATAGGTGAGATATTTGATGAAAGGGGAGAAGCAATGTGGCATGTGTGAAAGCTGACAGGTATTAAAAGAAACAAAGTACTGCAGTAGTCAACCTAGGGTACCATGCTGTATTAATTTCAAATATTCAGACTCTTGGTGAGGTTCTGTGGGGACTTAAATGGAGATTATAATGGTATCTTATATAAGTTCATTCCATCATTGCAAAATTTAAAAAAAAAAAATCACTGAAGATAAAAATTTTAATTAAATTCTTTATCTTTGATTGAAAATTTAACTTCCAAAGGAAGATTAACATAGCATCATGAGTAACCATGGGATGATTTCATCACCACTAATTTGAACATGAAATGCATCAGCATATAGAATTCAGACGGCTTTGTGAATTAAAAGCCTCTGATGTCTGTATTAGAAATATCCTGCGGATATAATTTACGTATCAAAGCTTCCATTCTACTTTTGTTACAGCATATGGTGGTTAGCTCTGATGGTGCTTTATATTTTAGAGTGCCAGTGACTCACTGATATTCTTAACCATTTTCCTCTGCTGAGCTAGCAAGTGAGAATTACTTTTTTGCTGGTGTGTGTGAAGAGACAGACAACCTTTAACCTTTCTGAACTCTCTTACTTTGCATATTGGCATAAGAGGAAAAGTAGTGCACTTCTAGAAAAGTCCAGGCTGTCATCCTGGACATTGACCATGGGCTTTGTATGTTTTTTTTTTTTATTTAAATAATCTCAGTAACTTCTTTTTTTGCTTGGTTCAACATGATGTTATGCTTATAACTCTCATGAAGGAAAATAAAGCAAACCAGAGAGTACCAATCTTCCTGTCACTTTTGTATGTTTAGTAAAATAAACCAATAAAAACTTTTAAAGAAAAAATGAAGATTAATCAGTGAAAAAACTGTAAAACCAAAGTGTTTTCCCCCTACCCTGCGGAATTGTTTGTTTTGTTTTATTATGTTTTTATTTTGAAAGCCTTTCCATTAAATTGCAGTCTTTTGAAAGATAAGAGTCAGCTCCAATAACTGCCTAAACTTTTTTTGGTGACTCCATTATTTCTGAATTCACTGAAGCCTTGGTTTCTGTCTAAGAGATTGTGATTAAAGTTACAATAAAGTACATTTTAAAAATTAGGAGGTACATCATTGAGATATTTTTAACAAGAAATTTGTTTTCATTTTTAAAACAACTGTAATGTCAAAGTACTTAGAACAAAAGGGGCAATTGATATTGTTAAATTGAAAAACTTGGAAAATTTAGGTTTTGTTATGAAATAATTGGAAGAAGGAAAAGTTATCTGTGGATGATGGAACTAGCATGAAAATACATTTTTGATTTTAGGCACTTGGGTTAGAGTAGAAAAAGCTTTCCAGTGCCACTGGGGATGTAAGCTGCTCTTTGTGCTATTCCCTTATTTGACAGCAGTCCTGTTTGAGCGGGGGCCTTGAGTTCTTTGTTTGAGCTGCTGGGAAGTCCTGTGGGACCATAACTTTCCATGCTGACTTCTGTGGGAGAAAGTCTTGTTGAGATCACACTTCAGTAAAAGAACTGTTTGTGAACAGAGTCCTGATCAGAAAAAGTTCTGTGAGCAGATACATTTGCTTTTCACTGCTTCTTCAGGTCTTGCCTCCAGCTGAGTCTCTGATAATGAAATAAGGAGGGGGCAGCAAGGTGGACAAGCTGCTGGAGGGGCTGCTAAGCACCTGCTTGCAAGGTGTCCCCACTGCAGAGAGTGCCTGAAGCAGTAAAGCCATTGGACCACATTAGCTTTCCATAATGTCACTGTAAAGCAGCACTCCTGCCCAGCTAAGCAGAGCTTCAGTTCAAGACGAAAAAGAGATAAATATAGAATGATATCTAATTTTCCTTTGAATTTAGGACTAGTAAGTTCAATGCTTGTTTTGCAAAGAAAACCATTGTGTTTAACTTTCTGGAGGTTGTGTACCTGTATTTTCTGCAGTAACTTCTTAATTGTAAAGTATAAAGTGCTTTTGTCCACCTATGAAATACAACTGCATTTATTTTCATTAATTATATTTTTATGTTTTAATATATCTAGTATTTATTGAAATATCAACAATTTAATATAATTAATTAACCATGTAGTAATAATTGTTTCGTTAGTTATTCTTTATTTAGTTATAATTCTTCTGATATGTCTACCATTCATTTGAGGCCTTGCTTACATTTGTGGGTCCATTAATTTCAGAAAGATTCATATCAGCTAAGTTTTGCCTCCCTACTGAAACTTGGAATTAAGTGTCTGAGCTTGTTAGGGCTTACTGTATGCAGCTGATGTAAAATAATAGCCAACAACAGAGAGAAAAGAGGTGATGATCTTTATTATATAAATAAACCTGTGTGCTCCTTTATTGCAACAGGCTTTTTTACCAGTGTGCTTTTTTCACGTTGTGGTTCTTCTGGCATGTCAACTTTTTGTACATAAACTGTTCATTCAGTACCTAATGGGGGATCTACAAGAGAGGTGGAGAGGGACTTTTTACAAGGGCATGTACTAATAGGACAAGGGATAATGGCTTTAAACTGAAAGAGGGCAGGTTGAGATTAGATATTAGGAAGAAAATTATTACTGTGAGGGTGGTGAGACACTGGCACAGGTTACCCAGAGAAGCTGTGGCTGGCCCATTCCCTGGAAGTTGTCAAGGCCAGGTTGGAATGGGGCTCTGAGCAACCTGGTCTAGTGGGAGGTGTCCCTGCCTATGGCAAGGGATTGGAACTAGATGATATTTAAGGTCCCTTCCAACCTAAACCATTCTGTGATTACATGCTTTGAAACAGTAGGGGAAATAGATAATTTACCTACTCTTGGATCTGCAGAATAAAACTTTCCACATTTGCAGTGGTGAGTATTTTTCAGGCATTTTCATATGCTTTTTAGAATTTAACTTATCTGTCAGAGTACTCCAAAGATCTAAATATAGCAGACTGTAGTGTTTTGAAGTGATAGTTTAGAATGAATTTCCACATCTCAAAACTGGCACCTGTTTGATCAGAATACAGTGAATTATGCCCACTCCTACTGCATTTCACTATCCATTTCTGGTTGCATGCATATTAATGGTGATTCAGTATGCCTTTTGTGCTTGGCAGTCTGATTTTCACAGCTAAGAGGTAAATATAAATAGCATGATTTCAATTGCAAAACATTGATTTCCTCCCAAAGCAGATGTTTTTTTATCTAGCTAGTGGTAGGATATTTCAAGGCAAGATCACTGTTCCTATTTACATTTAAAGATAAAGAGCCAAAATGAAAAGAACACCTCAATATATTTGTATTTTGATTGTTAAGTGTTGGCTTACCTCTCTGACAGTCCTTCCTTCACTAAGGTATCTTGGATATCTAAACTGCTTTTATTAAAATTGTCTGTGCTTTTAAAGGCTGAGTGGTAGAATCAGGTGTTAGTTTTGTTTTTGTTTATTTTTAATTAGAATGCTGGTTAATTTTGGTCTTGATCCTGTTTGATTACATGACTTTCCTTTCAGTTTTTCCCACTGGTAGCTCCAAAATACTATGAAATAAAAAAACTTTTGGATCATTGATGTCAGTGACAGAAGGGAGTAGACTCCTCTGCTGCTGCAGATCTTACCAGAGCAGCAGCAAAGTTATCAGCTTTTTTAATTAGGAGCTTTTTGAAGGTCACTGCCCTCATGGCTCAGATGCAGTACCAGATCACACTGTGTCTCTGTGCATCTTTGACAAGCAGTAAAGCTCAGCTTGTTCCGGTTTGGTCACTCAAGTATGGACTTCTTTGTGTAAGAAAGGACCTGATGAACATTTGCATCTCCCTCACATTTTGAATGTTCTTCTCTCAAGAATTGAATACCTTATTTTTCTGACTGAGCCAGGACTAGAGGCAAGAGTTTGAATCCCTTTTAGCTTTTTCAATTGCCCCTGAAGCCAAAAATATGTTCCCCCACTTTCTGCTCTTCCTTCCCATCTTTCTTCATGAAATCTATAGTCCAACTGCTATATGAAATGTTATCCAGCATTTTTAACAGCATCTGCAACCACAGTTACATTTCCGTAGATCCAGCCCAGAAAAAAACCCAACTTATCCCACCTCCACGGGAATTTGTGTACAGTTTTAAGAGGCTTCCAGACTTGAGGTTTCATCTTCTGTTCCCTCCGTAACAATAAAAGCAGAGTTAATTGTAACTGGCAGATGCTCAGTTTATGAAGTGCAAACAGGTCTAGAATAACATGTGTGCAAGTGCCCAAGGTTAGATACACAAGTTAGTAAAAGGAATTTAAGTTCACATTGTATTGAAAAGAACTTTTCTATGTTGTTTGCATTTTTGAACTAGGTATGAAAACATTTAAGTGTTCTTTTTCACTCAGTAGTATGATATGTAGCTTATTTAGGTCAGAATGATTTTGGTGTCCGACCAAATACTTCAATCCTTATTAATGCCATAGCACAGGTGTTTTATAGAGTTTTATGTTTCTAAATTAGCTGGTAACTTCTTTTAAAGAAGCATTGATTTTTCTTTCTTTTCCAGTTTGCTCTTCTCAGTGTGTGTTGCAGTAAATGTCACATTGAATTTGTGACTCCGTGAAGCCTGCTGTACCACAGAATTTTAAATGCCTAAGAGGTGTTTTTTCTTCTTGTGCTAATCTTAATCAAATGACCAACCCTTGCTACTTACCTGGATTCCTTGGGAGCTTCAGCTTCCCCCCCTTTCTTCTTTTGTTCTTAGAAAATTTGATTATTCAACAATTAGGCTTCAGGCAGAATGGTAAATGACACGTGCACAGTAAGGAGGTCAGAAGCTCCCACATACAACCTGTTGAGTCTTCACAGAGGAGTTATGTCCTGCTAAATTATCTGCATGTGTTAGTGATCTGTATTCTGACAAGGATGAATGAAAGGCTGAGCATAGTGAAAATCTCTAATAGAAGAAATGGTGGACACATTCATTCTGGTGAATCCCACTCTCTGTTAGAACTGCGTCTGCTGCCCCTGCTAAATCAAATTCTTTTTCAAGTTAGCAGCTCTGAGACTGCCTGCTAGGCTGCTGTGCTGAAAAAGGATTTCCCGTTTTGGTTTGATTCTGCCACCCTGTTTAGCTTTTGGAATTAATTGCTTTTGGAACCACTCTGTGGATAGGTTTAGTACTGCACCAAGTCTGAAGGAGTTGGAGTTTGACTCAAAAGATGGATGGGAGTGTGTTGTTCTGTGACCATGGAAAGAAATGTATGTGTGGTGGTGGTTTCAGTTGCGTGTGACATCAATATTTTCATGATCCCCCCTTTGAATCCTTTGCTTATGTTTTCTGAGTGCAGAGTTTCAGAGTGGAGAGCCGGATCTGTACCTCGAAGCTGCCTCGAAGCCGGATTGTGAGTCTTGGGCTGTGGCACTGGGACAGGCAAACTCGGAAGGTTTGCGGCATAAAATTCAGCAGCTCCGGAGGTTGATCATGGAAATCAAAGAGGAGAGGTCAGCAGATGAAGCACGGCAGTTTCTCCCTCCATCCCAAGCAGACAGCCTAGGAGAGCCCCAGTTCACGAGTAAGTGTGTGTGCTCATTCTGTTGAGTGGTACAATAGAAATGGCCCAGTCTCTGTAGTGGCACAGACTGTGTCACAAACCAGGGTATGTAGTGCTGTTTAACTTTTTGCTTGTCAAAGTGCAGTTGTAGAGGACGTAAACTGATGAGAATTGTCTTTAAATGCTTTTACCTGATATATTTTGGGTTATGCAGATAACCTTCAGGGGAATGAATGTGTGGTTTCTATGCTTCTGGCTTTTCCTCTCGAACCTGTTTTCTTCATAAGACTTAGAAATATTTTTTTCCTCTTTTATGTCCTACATGAACATATGGACTACTGTTTAAAATGTAGTTTGATAACTTTGATAAATGTATAAAGTTTTAGTGATACTTAAATTAGTATCACAGATTTGTTCTTTGTGATATAAAAGCACTCAGGGGATTTCAATGCAAGTAGCCATATGTTGAGTTGTATTTAGTGCACAGGGGTCTAGAGACTGTATTTCAGTTGCCCAGTCACTTAATCAACTCTATATCCAGCATATTCCTAAAGCTGTTTCAGGTAATATGCTAGTGGGAGAATTCAACCCAGAAATTTGCTGTAACTTCATTTGAAAAAAAATATAAATCTTTTTTGTTATTTTTTTTCTGACCTTTCTAAGCTCTGCAGCTGTAAATTTTCTGGCACAGATGCGAATGATTAGCTACAGTAATGAGAACAGTGTGAAGCTACACTTATTCAGAAACATCAAGTTTGCATGGAGCAAACACAGTTATAAATTTGGGGCTTTACTTCTTTGTGGTTTGTTTTTGTGATTGTGTGGGGTTTTTTTATAAATAAAAATCTTGTTCCAGTTCATATACCAATTTGGTCCTTCTCACCTGACCAATTTCTTCAATACTGACAAATACTTAATACTATTCACTGGAGACAACACATAAACGTCAACAAGAGACAGTTTAATTTCTACAAGCTTCATTGAAACTGTAGTTGTGGTCCAATTACTTTCTGCAGCAGGTGAACAACTCAGTGTTATTTACCCTTCCTTCCCTTCTTCCCTCCCTTTTCTCTTGCTGCAGCTCTGTTGGTCACTCCTTTATTCTAGGACAAGAAGAAAATATTGTCCTTTGCAGTAAAAGATGCAACAGAACATTATTTCACAATGGATTAGAATGTTGGTTTTGTTCTTGGTATATTAGGAAAAGAATTAGTGTGCTTATTTTCTAACAAAGAGAAGTTGGTTTTGTTGCTTTACAGTTTGTTTGTAGGTCAATAAAGTGGTTATATTTTACTATAATAACCTGATTTACATACTTTCACACAACATGGGTTTTGGTTTTTAATGTGATGACATACCTACTTAAAAATTATTTGTTATATTTAATATTTTACCAACAGTATATACTTAGTTATTGTGATTGAAGATCTTACAAGTATCCATCCATGAAGGGCTGGGTTTTTTTTAATTAGTTTCCCTTCCCAGCAACAGGAAGTTTCTGTTAAAAAGAAAAGTCTTCAAAAGTAGTCTTTTTTTTTTTTCAGGCAAATATTTCATGCAAAGTTCTCTTTCACTGTAAGTTTGTAACATAATATATTACTTCAGTGGCAATGGCAGGTAGGTAGAGACATATGAAAGCTTTACTATGTATGAAAAGGCAAGACATGGAAATCAAATTATTTCTAATTTCTTTTTTCCTTAATATTTAAAGGTATTCAGAGAATTGCAAATGAGCCAAAGCTGGAGTTCAGTCTTGGTAAGATATCATTTTGAATTTTTGCAATTGTAGTGGCCTCTGTGTGTGAAGAGATTATATATATATATATATATATAGAGAGAGAGAGAGAGAGAGAGAGAGAGAGAGAGAGAGAGAGAGAGAATATTTTACAGTGTAACATGTTACCTGTTTAAAAAAAAAAAAAAAAAAAGAAGAGCCCTGGTTCCTTTAGGTGGGAGATGTGCCTGAGGTGCCTGTGCATATCTTTTGAAATGCTGATTATAGTTTCTTAATTGGTTGGAATGGCTAAAGGTCTATTGAATTCTCTAATGCTGTGCTGCTCTACCAAGCTGAAAATCTGCCCAATAGCTTTTGTGAATGTCATTTGTGAAATGCTGCTTATTTGGGAAAAGACATTCAAGTAGAAGTTTTTAAAAAGATATTTTGTTCAGATAAGAGTCCCGTTGCTTTAGAACAAGCTTGAATCTAGAAGGGATATTATTTTGTAGAGTCAATATAAATGTGTACCTGATTTCGGCTTTTTATACTTAGTGTAAGTAATTAGTATATGAGAGCTATATATTGCTATAGTATGCAAGAGAACTTTGTTTTGGGAGGTGTCATATCAGCTCAAGCCTCCCCCTCTGTTCAAAGCTACACATCCTGATTAAGATGGCTTGGTAAGTCAAGCAAGCTAATTGAATGATCATGTATTTGTGATACAAGATAAAGGTGCACAGTATTTGCAGCCCCAAACTGCATTTAGAAAGAAAGATTTTCTACTTTGACACGGTTCTTTAATTGCAAAAGCTCTGAAGCTTTTGAAACAGTAGGTGAAATAGTTATTTGCTGCAGAAGCAATAAATACAATAATTCCATACCAGTGATAAGAACAATAGCTAGGTTTAGTTGATTAATGGTTGAGCTCTCTCTTCAAGTTGTCTTTTCCAACTTAAATGGTCCTATGATTATTCCCTGCTCTTGTGTGCAGGAAAATAACACAAGTGCAAATAGTGTCCAGTTTGAAATATCTGATGCTACATCCTCCATGCATTCTGAACAGACTAAAACTTGTCAAATTTATGATTTTTGCATCCACATGACCTGCTAATATTCATCTCACATACACTAAGAAACTTTTACTCGTTGTTATTCAGTATCTGTTACATTTATTCTGGTGTAAAAACTTTAAAACACCTATTTCAAAAGAGAGTGTGTATGTGAGGAAAAGGGAAATATAGATTTCTGTAAGCAGGATATTATATAAATATCCACCAGACTCCATTATTTGGAGATACTGAATTATCTACAAACAAATATCCCTGAGAAACTCCCAAACACAGTTAACAGATTGGCATCAGTGACATGACTGCAGGTTCTGTTTCTGCCCATTCCTTCATGGGAGCCTGTTTCCTGACCTTGTCCTTGGATCTGGGTTTTTACTTGGCTTGTGTGCTGCTGCAACTGTGCTGATGTAAAAGCTGATACCCTAAAGCTGTGCCCTCAGGGCAGATGTAGTTCTGTTTGATACAATCATTTTTAGACTAACTTTATCTGGGTAGCTTTATCTGTATGTCTTTTAAAAATTAGATAGTTATGACATTACAATAAACTTTGTCTAGTAGTTTTTTGTTTTTTGGGTTTTTTTTCCTGTAGGGACTATTCCTGCTGAAATTGTTAAATGTAGGCATGGAAGAAAGGCCTGGATCTCTGTTGGGGAATCACCATGCCATAATAATTATTAAGAGCTATTTTAACTTTTCTGTGCCTCTCATTATGCATTATATAGGTGATGTGACTGTAATATATGGGAATAGCTAGTAATTGCAGTGTTCCAGTGATACCAAACTCCCAGAATGACTCTGGTGTGGTGTAGGAGAGGAAGGAAGGTGCTGCAGGTAGCGACTGCAAATTAAATGAGCAATGCTTCAGGAGAAGTTGCTTTCAGTGATAAATGTGCCCCAGCAGGCAGAGGTGTTGAAACAAAGTAAAGCCATTTTCAGACTTGTGCTGGACGAATCTCTGTTCACTCATGGTGTCAGTGTTTGTGTTTTGTATTAGGTTGTTTCTAGTAGGCTTTTATGTTCTGTGGTTTGTTTTCCAGCATTATTGATTGAGTCATTGCAGCTCTCTGAGTGATCTTATACATTGACTTCTGCTGCTGCTCAGGTAACAAATAAGAATAGCAGAGTAAACCTCTTGTTTTTGACTGGTACTCCTGCCCAGTGTCATAAACCAGGGATATTTGGCCATGCAGGAAACTGATTCTTAGAGTCTTGATCCTAAAATAATGCTACATATTTAAGCATAAGGTATTTGCATTAGGGGAATCCAGCATCTGTGCTGTTCACCTGGTTACTGACAGGGCTGGAAGGGACTCACTGGCAGCCTGGTCTGGGCACTTGGGGAACACGCTCTGCTGCTGGCAGGCCAAGGACACTGGTTGACTGACATTGCCCTTTGAAGGCTTGGATTATGTCTAATTAAAGACTTGGCATTAACTTTAGCTAATCAAGGACTTCCAAGATCTCTCTGTGAGGTGGTGCAAAGCAGGATGAGATGGGAGAGGGATTTGCTGCAAGCAGACACTGCTGTGATGTGTGCCTGGCTTAGGTAACCAAATCTTAGGGCTCTATAGAGACATTTCAACTTGATTAGACTGGCCTTTGGCATTTAAAATTTGGAAGGCAAATCTATCAGCTAATGACCTGTAAAGCTGGTCTCTAGCCCTGAAAGAATGGCTTATAGCTATAATTTTGTTCATATGCACTGTATAATCAATATTATATTAGTGAAGTGGCATTTATATGCAAATAGACATTTGCTTATATCAGTTATTATACATGTTTTTAACTATATTAAAAAAATTCAAAGTTTTCCCATAACTGTATTTTAACTCTTCTGTCACTAACTGGTCAATAAATAACATTCAGGAATGGAACTTGAGTAACTGAAACAAAATGCAGCTTTTTAATAATATTTGGGTACTGCCTAATACATGAGTTTTATATAGGGACAGTAAATACTGCTTTTCAAAGTTCGAGGTTCTGATAACTAGATTTTGAAATAACATTGCTAAAGTCTTCCTAGGGGTTTGTATTCTGTTGTAGTAGCTGTCTTGCTGCATCCTATATCCCTAATATTCTAGAAAGCATTCTCTTCATAAAATGGTGGAAACATTGCCTTCTCTTATTTTATTTTAAAGTTCAGTAGTGTCTTTTTTTTTTTTTCTTTTCCTGAGGTTAAAGCAAAGAAATAAAACTCTTCTGAGTTACAGCTTTCCACTGCCATACACTCAGGATTTTCAGGAGTGTACCTGCTCGTACTCGTACCATAATTCTGGAGTCAGAGCATTCTTTAGACTAAGATGTTTGATTTTTGCATTTCTGGGGACTCTTTGGAAAAATGGCTGATTTCTGAACCTTGTAGCTGGTGATAAGTTTTACTTTGCAAACTTTCTCCTCCTGTTGTTTGGCTTTTCAAGTCATTGTGTTCTGCCTGCTGTTCCATGGAGGAGGTAGCAGGTAGCAGGGTGCTGAGCAGAGAGGAGGAACAGAGCAAAAGGGATCAAAACAGACAGTGGGCCTGAATAACAAACCAATCTAACACACAGTGAAGCTGATAAGAATCTTTCTCATGACTTTCAAGTGTGCAGGGTTAGTTCTTTCACAGATGTTTATTTTGGAGCTACTGTTCTTGGCTGCTTCTTTAAAATATCCCATCCCTTGAGTCCCAGATGTAGCTAAATATGGTGCAGGTTCCTGGCTTTCCATTGATGTAGCATAGCTACTGTGTGGTATGTCAATTCAGCTAAAGTATTAGGTAATAGTTATGGGAAATAAATTATATCATACATGTTGGTGAACACTATTGTGAAGTTTTCAAGAGCTTGCACCTCTAAAGGAATTTGTATTTACCTGATGGTGAACTGACAAAGCAGCACAAGAAAACTCCAGTAATCAGAAAAATAAGGGAACAGGATAGAAGGCACAGTTGGTAGTCAAAGTGCTCAAACATGAACTTGGTTATGAACATGATGTTAACGTGGAAAAACAAATTAGAAAAAAAATCAGAAAAGTTCATTACTCAATGATCAGTAGAATTAATTTTGACACATTTTAGTGGTTTTTTTTGCAGTTGTCTCATGGATTAGAGTTGTGGAGAGAGGGCAAGGGATACTGTGGGTGTGATATAGTGATCTAAACACCTGTATAGAAAGGAATGTCCCTGCACATGTTGTAGGCATATTCAGACAGTAATTTTAATGAGAACACCTGTCTGCAATTTTCAAAAGCTCTAATTTTTTTTGCAAATATTAGGGCAGTGAAATTTGATGGACTGCTCTGTTGTTGAGTAACATCTTGGTACTTTTCAAAGTGTAGCATAGGGCAAATCTTCCGGGTATGTCCTTTTACAAAATCTCATTAAATGGTGCACAATTTACAGAAAACTTCAAGTAGTTGAAAGAATTAAAATTAGAAATTTCTACATTATTTACTTATTCATTTTACCAAGTAATGGGTTGATACAAGAATGGTCTACCTGTAAATGCAGAAGTTTTTCTTATCCACTGTCTTATTTTTCCTCAAGTACTATTGTAATGGCATCTCTTGGAAAAGACCTTGAAGCAGATTTAACTCTGCATACTGAACATAAATGGTACACTGATGGTGCTCAAAGAGCATGACTAAACGATTTTTCCAATTCTGAAACATAATTTGGAGCTCTTTCAGCAACAGCTGTTCCTAGAAGAATGATAAGAAGAAAGACTTGCTTCATCCATATCACACACTTGAAGCCTGAGTCTTGATCGTAGCAGAACTTTCCCATCTAGCTTGGTTATCCTTCTGCTTCATCAAGGAACAACGAGTTGGTGAATAACTGCTCTGTTGTGTTAGCCAAATAAAATGAAAAAAAAAATATCATCATCATCATCACACTTTTGAGTAAATTTAAATAGTGATCGTTTCTCTATGAATCAAATTCACAGTGTCACTTATTGCCAAAGGGTATTTATCCCTCCGAAAAAGTTAAATGTT